TGTGTACCACTGATAGGCTTTGGATGTGTTTTCCCTCCAAACCTCATGTGGAAATGTGACCTCCAGTGTTGGAGGTAGAGCCTGGTGGCAGTGATTGGATCATGGGGGTGGATCTCATGAAGGGATTTTCACCGTCACCTTAGTGACGAGCACGCTCGTAGCGAGATCTGGGTGTTTAAAAGTCTGGGACCTCCCCACTCTTGATCCCTCTCTTGCCACCGGATGTGCTGGCTTCCACCATGATTAGAAGCCTCCCGAGGCCTCCCCAGAAGCAGATGCCAGTACCACGCTTCCTGTACACCCCATAGAGCCAGGAGCCAAAAATAAGCCTCTTTTCTTTATGAATTACTCAGGCTCAGGTATTTCTTTATAGCAACACAGACAGCCTAGTTTAGCCCCCAACCCATGCCTGTGGCTGGTGGTCACAGCATGTCTGCCCGGGCGGCCAGCTGGCCTCATGAAGGCCATGGGAGAGAGAATTGGCATCTGCTCCCAGACCTCCAGGATGGGTCACCTCAAGGTGAAATGACCATACAGTGCCCCATGTCCCCCTTTTGTGGCAGCATGTGGTGCGGGTTGCAGGGCACAGTTGGCCACCCAGCCTGCACCGGAGATCAGCCCTGGAGCAGCCCTGGAGCTGGGCCCTGGCTGGCGTGTCACATGGGCACTGTGCTGAGGTCCTCTCAGCCCTGCTCTGCATTGGCCCTGGGATCCAAGCCTGCCTTCACCCATCTGGGAAATAGGCCCATTCACAGCTTTCTCATAGGGCGGCCGAGAGGTAGAGTGGCTGGCTCTCTGAGGAATGTGGGAAAGGGGGATGTGGGATGCTGCTGGTCTCTGACATCAAAGGGACATGTTTTGGAGACTGAAGATGCAGAGTATCTGTGTGCAGATAGTTTCACTTCTTGGCTTTCTGATGGATTGAGAGGGCGGCCTTGATTAACAGAGGGTGTGGCAACACTCACCGTATCAGTAATCTAGCGTTGTGTAACCAACTGTCTGCAACTCAGTGGCTTAAACACAAAACTCTTATCTCAGTTTCTGTGGGCCAGGAATTGGAGGATGGCTCAGCTGGGTGGTTCTGGCTCAGGGTCTATGACGAGCCTACTTGAGATGTTGGCTGGGGCTGTGGTCTCATCAGAAGGCCAGCCTGGGGCTGGAGGATTCACTGCCAAGGTAGCTTCTCATGTGGCTGTTGGCTGGAGGCCTTGGTTCCTTGAAATACGGGTTTCTCCACAACCTGCTTGAGCATCCTCATGACACGGCGGCTGACCCCCCTCCACTGGAGTGACCCAAGAGGGCCAAGGAGGCGATCTTGCCTTGGCGGCTGCAGACTATTGCTCCCATTATACTCTGTTCATCAGAAGTGAGTTGCTCAGTCTGGCCCATGCTTGGGGAAGGGAATTAGTCTCTACCTCTTGAAGGGATGATTGATGAAGACTTTGTAGACATTCTTTTTATTTTTTGAGAGACAGGGTTCTGTTACCCAGGCCTAGAGTATTGTGGTGTGATCATAGCTCACTGTAGCTCCAACTCCTGGGCTCAAATACTCCTCCAAACAGCTGGGAGTTACAGGTACACACCTGTAGTTTCAGGGTAACTTATAGAGACAGGGTCTCTCTATGTTGCCCAGGCTGATTTGGAACTCCTGGCCTCACGCAGTCCTCCCACCTCACCTTTCTACTTAGTTGGGATTACAGGTGTGCCCGTCACGCCCAGGATGAATGTTTTTAACCATTACAGTCCAGTATACCTTAGCTGTGTGTGGTGCACACACGTGACCATTCACACCTTCTGATCGGGTGCCGTGGTTGGGCCATGGACTGAGCAGGTGCTGGTAATGAGCAGTGGGGGCCCAGGAAGCTGGGTTCAAGTCCTGGACATGCTGCTCAACTACTTGACCTTGGAACAAACTTCGGTCATCTGGCCTCGGTTTCCCCATCTGCACACTAGGCCTCTTGGGCTTGGGCGATGGCTGTGAGGGGTGGGACACAGGCTGGGTGGTGGGTGACGGCTCAGCTGCTGTGGCTTCTCCTGGGCTCATTGTGAGGCTGTCTTGAGAGGTGCCCGACTGGTCTGTGTGACTTCTGAGAGCTGCTGCGGTATCCCCTGGGGGGGTGGTCTTTGCATTCCTTGGGGCCCTGCTCCTATCTTCCAGGCAGCCCTCCTAGTGCCACCCTCCTGAGCGCCTCGTTGGGACCACGAGGACCTGGTTTGTTGATGTCCGCATGGGTCCCTGTGAGGGTGGGACTCTGTCCTGTGCCACTTTGTCTTTCTAGACATTCCCTCCTAAAAACCCCGCAGCCTACTCAGTGTGGTGCTGAGGGTGCTTTGGTGACAGGTAGGACCCAGTGGTCCTCTGGACTGCCCATGGCAGCCCCCATGTGGGCCACGTCCTCCGGTGTCCCCTGCAGGCAGCAGGACAAGAGCGCTGGTCTTCCCTCTGCCCCAGTGTCCTCTGTGTCACCTTTCCCCAGCCATCGGCCTGTTGGGGTCACGGGGTGGCCCTCTGCCGAAGGTGTGCGGGTTTGTGGGCCCAGGGCAGGGGGCTCTTGGGCAGGGTGCCCACCAGCTTGATACCACGTGCCCTCCCCACTGTGGCTCCGGTGGGGTTGGCAGTGCAGACCCAGAGCATGGGTGCCATTTGCTGAGACACCTGTGTGACCGTGGCTGGACCTCCTGCCTGCTGGGACTGGCATCTGTCCTTGCTCGCTGGCATGCTGTCTATTAATGGCCATGGGGCCCCCCACAGGCTCTGAAGCCCCTCGTGTCAGTTACCCCATTACGCTCAGGGGAGTGACCTCATGAGGTCGGGTTTGCTGTGCTGTTACCCCGTTGGGTAGATGAAGAAACTGAGGCCCTGAGAAGCAAAGTAACTTGCCCAAAGCAAGTTCAGCCAGAAGCAGCAGAGCGTGGGTCTGAGCCACAGGCGTGCTTTCCTTGCCCCCACCGGACCCACAGGGAGAGGCACTGATGGCAGCCCGGTGCGGGGGACGGGCAGAGACCAGGCCAGCCTTGGGGGCAGTACGGCCGGCAGTGCGGAGCGGAGAGCAGCTGGCAGGGTTCAGGCTGACCGAGGAAGGGCCCTTGTTGGCTGCCCGCATTTTCTGGAAGTCAGGCTGCCAGGCAAAAGCCCCCGCCCTCCCGCGTGCTTGCATGTCTGTGCCAGGTTGAAGCGGCCTTGGAAAGGCAGGGTGGGGGTGCGGGTCCCCCTTCCATCCCTGGTCCCTCCAGAAAGACCCAAGCTAGGTGGGGCCCACTGCTGCGGGGCACGGCCACGGCACCACGTGACTGCTGGCAGCTGGGGGCTGGCTCGCCTGCCATAGGCGTGGGGCTCTTAGGGGTCCTTTGTTCCTGAGGTGTGAGCTCTCACTGGAGAGAACAAACGATGTCCCCTAAACTCGCTCTTGCCTCAATGTTGTCTCATTTGCAGCTCTCCTCATAGGCAGTGCCCCCGCCCTTCCCTCAGTACCCCCAAAGAGTTATTTTCTCCCTACATCCCCTGTCAGGAGAGGGAGGACTTTGCTCCTTGAATACACGCCCAGGGCCCATGGCCTTTGGTGGCAAGTTCTGGGGATAGCAGGTGGACAAAGGAGGTCTTGAGGGGGTCCCCTCCACACTGCCTCCGGGCCTGCCGCCCATGGGGACAGGTTTCAGACTTGTCAGTGTGACTTAGAATCTGGCAGAGGTGGGGTGGGCTCTGGAGGCCAGGGTAGCCTCTTCGGTGAGGGCGGTGGGCCCACAGCCCCGGGGGGACCCTGGGACCCCCTTGCCCTTACCCCATAGGAAGTGCACAGTCCGCCCCTCTTGTGTTATGTGTGGTCCCCCAGATGATCTCTGTGACGCCAGCATCCGCCACTCCAACCAAGATGCGTCCGCAGGGAGGAAGCCGGGACCCTGGCCTGTGGGTGACGTAGGGGTGGGGGCGTCTCGGGAGGGAGGGGATGCTGGTGAAAAACATTTTGACCAAGTTGGGCTTTTATTGGTTGGACACACGGGATGGGAGGACTGAGGGCTTGTTTGGAGGTGGCCATGTCCTTTCCCCAGTGGTTCTAATGTCACCAGATGGCTGCACCTGGGCTCAGACCTGCTGCTGCTGCAGCTACCACCACTGGCCGGGAGGGCCAGGTCAGCTGTTGCTGGGCCAGGTCGGCCTGAACTTGGCCCTGGAAGGAAAGGGAGGGTTCCAAGCTGCACCGCGGTTTGGATTCGCAGTTTTCTGTTTTTAGCATCTCAGGGCAGACTCTGTGCCCAGTAAAGGGCCACAGTGGGGTCTGTGGGGCAGCCATGTTCTCCACCACTCCCCGTCAGCCTGCCTGTGTGGCCCCATCTCTGGGACCCCTCTCAGACAGAGACGCACAGGGTCCCTGAGTGGCGGGGAGGCTGGGGGTCTGCGCTGAGTGCCCGTGTGGACTCGGCTGAGTTGGGGCCTTAGTTTCCTTTTCTGTAATGTGGGGCAGAACTCGTGCCAGCCTCCTGAGGGCATTGCCCTGCGTGCCTGGCATCGTGTGCTTGTCGCGTCGGTGGCCACAGCAGTTGTCTTGGTTCCCGTCATCCCTGGGCCTCTCCGTCGGCGTGTTTCTATCCTGAGGATGCGGGCTGAACGCCTCCTCACCCTGGGCCTCAGTCTCCTTCCCCACACCCTTCGATGGTCTGGGGCCTGTTGGGTGATGCGCGGGATCCTGCACGGCCTGCCCAGCCCGGATTGCCCTGGAGAGGTAGAGGGACAGTGCTGGCCCAAGCCAGTCAGCATCTGGGGTCCTGGGGGCCCCTTGGGTCTGTGCCAGGTTCCAGCTGGACTCTGGGGACGGGGTCTGTTCTCTCCGCAGCGCTGGCTCTGTCCTGTTCTTGCTTGTCCTGCTGGAGCCCCCGGGGCTGCCCCTGCTCCCTGCATGCTGCTGCTGACACCGGCACCCCCCGCCCCAGCCCTGCCCACCCTGCTCTGGTGCTGGGCGCTCCTGCTCTCTGGGTGACCTCTGGTTCTTCTTTTCCTGTTTCAGGCATGAGCCATGAGCCCAAGTCCCCTTCGCTAGGGATGCTTTCCACCGCGACCAGGACCACCGCCACCGTCAACCCCCTCACCCCCTCGCCGCTCAATGGCGCCCTGGTGCCCAGCGGCAGCCCCGCCACCAGCAGCGCGCTGTCGGCCCAGGCCGCGCCATCCTCCAGCTTTGCCGCCGCGCTGCGCAAGCTCGCCAAACAGGCGGAGGAGCCCAGAGGTAAGGGGGCCCGCCAGGCTGCGCGTGGGGGGAGCTGCGGCTCCCGAGGCCGGGACTCAGCCTCCCGCCCGCGGCGTGCACGCGCACAGCAGGTCTCGTTTTTCCTGTGCCGTGTGCTCTGCGTGGAGTGGGCAGTGCTGTCTGAGCTGCAGACCCTGGGCCAGCCCGCCCGCCCCAGCACCTCTGCTTTGCCTCTGCTTCTGTCGCTCCTGCCTCTGTCCTTCCTCGGCCCCCGGAGTCACTGTAGGGATGTCTGGCCGTAGCGAGGTCCTCCTGCCAGCTCTGTGACTTGGTTGGGAGGAGGGTGGGTGCCCTGGACCAGGCTGCAGGGGGAGAGCTAGGCCCTAGTGCTCCCTGAGTGGCCCCTTGCCCAGGCTTCGACCACCCCCTCCAGACGTGGCAGAGAACATGGTGTCCCTGGAAACACATTGGTCTGGAGCAGGGATCTCTGGCACAGCTGACCCCACCACTGCTTAACTCCCTGAGGCAGAGACTGGGGGAAGCGTAGACAAGCGGCCCCTTGGGGTCTGGAGCCTTGGCTTCTGGTATCACCTGGGCAGGACCTGCTGTGTGACCCTGGGCACGTACTGACCCTCTGAGCTTTGTTTTTCCTGTCTGTGCAGTGAACCTCTAAAGAGGCCCCCTTTGGCTCTGGCTTTGGGGCACTTCTTGGGGCCTGCGATGACCATTGGCTGCCCATGCCCGGGCTGCTGCTGGCACAAACAGGGAGGCGCACTGGGCGGCTGGAGCTGCTGGGGGCCTTGGCCCTGTGGATTCCGGCCTCGGACACCCTCTGGACGCATTGCTCACAGGCAGGGGAGCTGAGGAAACAGGGACCCCAATGGCATCTGCTTCATTCACCTGAAAGGCCCATGGCTTAGGATCCTGGGTTCCAGGGCCCTCCAGGGTGGCCACAGAGCAACGCGTGCAGGAGCTGTATCCGTCTTTATATTATCCGGGTTCCAGCTTGGCAGAGGGGACACCTGCCCTGACCAGGGCGGGCTGGGGGGTCTTCTCGTTTCTGAGTGTCTCCTTTCTGGGTCCTTTCTGCTACCGCTCATTGGAGAGTGGGGGAGTACGAGAGGACACAGCTGGCGTTGATGGATGGGGGACACTGGCCCAGGAGGGAGGCCCACTGGGGTCTGGTTTCTGTACCACCAGGGGGCAGTTCCTTGCCTCCTGGCTCTTCCTGGCAAACCAGGCACAGGCGGGACCACCAGAAAACCCTCCACACCCCCAGCAGGGGACTCGCTGGCCACGCCTGAGCGGGCCAGGTTGCATGGCCCCCACCTGTGTCAAGAGGCTAGGCAGCTGCAGGCAGATGGCTCGGGAGAGGCAGACTGCCTGCCCGGTGGCCCCCCAGGCATCCTGGACTCTCCGGGGTGGTGAACAAGGCGACTGGGGACAGATCCCGGGAGGAAGCAGAGCCTGGAGTCGAGACCTGGGCTCTCCTGAGAGGGGCAGAGAGAAGCGAGGGCAGAGCTGGCCCGGCTCCTCCTGCCGCAGTTGTCTTTTTTCCCAGCATTTGGGGGCAGGAGAACCAGGGCTGGTGAGGGATTTCCAAGGCCACGGGCGACAAGTGGCTGGCGCTGGTGCTGCCCGGGCTGGGTTACCCCTGCATCCTGCCTTCATCCAGCAGCTGTGTCTGCTTTGGGGCCTCTGGGCTCCACCCCGGGTAACGCCGCGGAGGACGTCGTCAGGAAAAGGGCAGGTTTCCCTCCTCGCCAAGGAAGGTGGTGGAGAGGTGTTCAGACTCGCCTTCCCTCCCTGGGCCTGGCAGCGGCCGTGGGCGTCACAGCAGGAGCCTGCCTCATAGGGCGGTCGCTTCCTCTCCGCTGCCCCAGGCTGTCCCAAGCACTTGGCTTGGTGGCTCGGCCAGCGGGCGGCCTGAGTGCCAGAGGCTGCTGGTCCTCACTGGCCAGTAACAAAGTGTGCCACTGGGCACCCATGGCAGGAGGCCAGACACCATGGCCTCGGGGCCTCCTCCCTCCCAGCTGCGACCGGGGCACTGGGAAGGGTCCCCCAGGGTGGTTGCCCCGCAGGAGAGATGCCCCCGGACGAATGCCTGGGAACTGGGTGGCAGAGGGTCAGGAGAGCGGGCGAGCAGTGCCACTGCCTGAGCTATGTGCCCACGGGTTCACTCACCCAAGTCACCCCCATTGAGCTGGGAACGCCAGGGTTTGTGGAGCAGTGTTCGGGTCTTGCGACGCCCTTAGCTGGGCCGGGGCCCTTGTCGTCCCCACTTCCATTTTGTTGAGTCTCCATCTGGTCATCACTGGTCAGGCCTTAGTCTGGATGAGGAGGGACTGGGTAACTTGTTCTCGTGACCTCAGCCACTCAGTGCACCTGGTCCGCATTCTCATGGAGTCACACCCACCCTGACCTCACCTTTCCCCGTCCGTGGAACTGGCCGGCAGCCCTCCCAGGCCCCTTGAGCAGATGAGAAGGCCGAGGTTCAGAAAGGTCAAGTCGCAAGACGGCAGCCGCAGTGGGTGGGGTCGTGCCCGGGTCCTGCTGCTGCCGGACCTTCCCAGGTGGGCTGGGAGAGCCACTGTTAGGACAGTTCTGAGCAGGTGGTCCCAGTGGTCCCTGCTGGAGGGGAAGCCCCTCCCACCCCTAGCACCACTGCCCCTGGTGCAGGGAGCTGGCGTTTGGCGCACAAGAGTCTCTGCCTGGCCGTCAGCGCACTGACCCTGCCTCCCTGCGGGTTGTGGAATCCTGGGTGATGGTGGGGACATGTGGGCCCTCCAGCTTCCCTCTGCTACCTCCCCACCTGCGCCAGAGGGCAGCAGGGGGAACCTTCGGCAGACTTGGCAGTGGGAGGGGTCTGGATTTTTTATTTAAAATTTTTTTAGTTATAATTCCCATGCCATAAAATTCACCCTGTTGAAGTGCGTGATTTCGTGATTTTCGTACACAGTGTGTGACTATCTAATTCTAGAACATTTGGGTCACCCCTAAGAGAACCCCAGTGGCATTTGCTGTCAGCCTCCACGTCTTCCCTCAGCCCTTGGCGGCTGTTGTCTGCTTTCTGCCTCTGTAGATGTGCCTGTGGGCATTTCGTACACAGGGGCTGGCGCAGCGTGTGTCTGGACTCCTCTGAGTATGACATCTCCTGGTCCTCGTGGGCCGTCTGTGGCGTGACAGCCCTTTCTGCCTCTCGTGGTGGGACGACCCGGGTGGGGCCACGAACCCCCAGCTGCCTGTCTTCTCCGTCCTGGAGGTGGACCAGCGAGGGCCTCCCCGCCTTCATCTCGGCAGTAGCTGTGTATCGAGCGCCTGCTGTGCCCCTGGCGGGCTCGCTGTGCTGCTCACACAGCCTTCGCCTCTGGTGGATGAGAACTGAGCCCCCGGCTTGCCCGGGTCTCACGTTGTAAGTGGTGTGGGGAATTCCAACCCCCAACTCGTGCCTGAGACAACGTAGCCCCCTGCCACGCAGGTATAGCCTCCTCCCCGCAGAAAGGGAGACTGGGCCTCTGTGAAAGCCACACCTCCCAGGAGACGGGGTCCCTCTGGTGCCTGCCAGGTGCCCAAGAGAGCACCAAGCCCCTGCGGGCTAGCGGCTGAGCTGGCCAACTCACAGGCCCACAGCCAGGGCTGCCTCCTGGCGATGGCACGTCCCGGGCAGAAGGGGCAGGGATGGAAGCGGGGCAGCTCCCAGAGCTGCAGGGGGAGGTGGCAGGAGAGGTGGCAGGGCTGGCGCACTCAGGGAACAGCAGAGGCTGTGCTGCCCCATGAGGCCCCTCGTCGGGGGTCCACGGGGCCCTGGCCGCCTGCGGCAGCCTTCTCACTCACACTGACCCTCCTCTCCAGTGCACGCCTGACGACTTTTGGAAGCACCTCTCATTTTTTGCCATCTGACGGTGATTGCCTCCACGTCTCTCCTCTCATTGTGTCTCAAGGGTGCAGTTTAAAAATTCAATTCAGACGAAGCTGTGGCTTGCGCTGCCCCAGGAGAAAGGCTAGGAAGGAGAGGAAAAGGAGGCCCTCGCTGGGATTTATATTTCTGGAGGCTGAGATGTGTTCCCATCTTCAAAGCTCAGTCACCCGCCCACCAGCACGGGGCCAGACACCCATCCCCAGCGCCAGCCTGACCGTTTAACCTACTCACTCCCGAGGCCGGGGCTCCCTGGGCGAGGGTGGACGCTTGGGAATCGCCGATGCACACCCGCACCTTCCTTCCTTGCTGTGTGATCTGGGCAGGCCGCTTTGCCTCTCTGAGCTTCTGCTGTTTCTTGGGTGAGGAGCAGGTCTCTATCTCATGAATTGTGGGGCCTCAGTGAGAATGAGCAGCAGCCGGGCATGGTGGCATGAGCGTCAGTGCAGCAGGCCTCCACCCTGGCTCCCTTCCCTGCCCCCCACCCTCATGCTGCCTCCTTTCGCCTTCCCCATTCTTGCCACCCTCACCTCCTACGTGCCCTCCCACACCCCTCCACCCCCTGCCACGCCTTCCGCCCACTCTCCTTCCTACCCCGGTGACCCCTATCATCTGCCCGGGGAGGGTGTGTGCTGCCCCGGTGGGGTGGGAAGGTGTGGGTCCGCCATGGCTTCCCCCCATCAGTGGCTCTGGGCCGGGAGCCTGCAGTGGCTTCCTCTTCTCCCAGCGGTGCAGGGTGCAGGCAGGGCCGGGTGGCTGCCTGTTTGTCTTGACTTCCTGGGAGAAAGGGGGGCTTGGAGTGCCCAAGCCCCATGCAGCGTGTTCTGGAAGGAGCCTTGGGTTGCAGGTTTGGGCGTGATCCCGAGTTGAGCCTGGGTTGCACCCCCGGCCCCTTCCCAGTGACCGACCCAGGCTCCAGTCTGAGCCCAGGCGTCCCTGACCCTGTTCTGCCCTAGTGGCTGTTGATCTCTTTGTTCCTCCCACGTTGTGCCAGCCACCAAAGGGATGTCCCCAGGGCCGCCCAGCCCTCCCTCCAATGCAGGTGGACCAGCTCCTGCCATAGCCCAGCCTTCTCAGGTGGCACCGGGTCCTTGGGTACAAGCAGAGACCCCCCTCCCCCGCC